GCTCCAGCACCGCCCCCGCCGCCTCCCGCGGCTGCACCGCGTCGAAGAAGCCGTCGCAGGCCAGCAGCAGGAAGTCCTCCGCGCCGCCCAGGGGGAAGGAGGCGCCGTCGGGCTCGCCGGAGACGTAGGGCTTCTGGTCGAAGTCGCCTGGAGGCCGGGGGGAGAGGGGAGAGGGGAGGGGACACGTGAGGCCACCTTCCACCGGGGCCATTACAGAACCCTGCTGGGTCAGAGACCCATACTGAGAACAGGGCCGCAGGACGGGAGCCTTGCAGGACCCAGACGTGATCCGAAAATACTTTACAGCCCCATTTCTCGCTGCTTCTCTTGCATCTGAGCAGCTATGTTTGGCACATACAGAGACTGACCAAAAACACGGTGCATATAAATATTAAAACTATTACATAAAAGCGTCAATCCATAACACAGTCATTACACATCACTCCTACAGGAAACCACACAGCTTCCCCGAACCTGTAAGTTTACTCCACCCACAGGCGCTCGAAAAGCCTTTAATTGCACAACACCCCCTTCATTCTTGCACAGAACAACTCACTGCACTTGCCCGTAAACCGATACTCCTTCACTGTGAGCCTGCCGAGATCTCGCCACACACACACGGAAATGGTGCGCTTTGTTCCGAGCGGATGTGAAACCAGAGAAGAGGAGCGTGCCTTGACAACATCCCCTCCGGTCGCAGCTCGGAAACGATTCAATACTGCACGAGACATCCGGTGCGCTCGGTTAGTATCCCAGCGCAATCCCAGCCTCCACGCGGTTTCGCCAGACGTCACCCACCTATGGCTCGAGAGACCGCGTAGGTGCCGTTCACTCTCCAGCAGCCCATGAAGGCAATACACCCTCCCAGATCCTCGATCCGCTTCTTCTCATCCTGGGGAGGGAGGGACACCCGATCATGACCAAACCCCACAGATTCCCCCCTCATCTGAAGGTCAAACCTTTCAGCTGCTGAGCTGGGCCGCACGTCTGTTTTCACACCCCAGGCACGGTCTGACCAGCGGTTTCAATTAGGTGCACCTAGGACCTCTTCGCTTTTTATTTTTGGTACATTTTGAGAGTCAGATCTCATAGTGGGTGAGTTTCTTCTTTTGCGTGCACTGAAGAATGGGCCTCCCTAAAGCATTCGCCTGGCCTACACATCTGCCAATCCATTAATACAAAACCAGCCCTTTGTTTAGTGGGGGTGTTTTTATAAATGGAATTCTTCACAGGGTCCCTGAAATGAGAATGACAAACAACTTTACAGTCCGTTTCAGGGGCTGTACACGCAGCTGATCAAGAAAGTACAACAGCTTCAGAAGGACACTTGAGTCTCATCAACAGGATGGATTAACAGCTGGCACGGTTAACAGTTTCACACCTGTGTGACTCCTGTCAATCTGATGGACACTTGGATGCTTGTCCAACTGGGACCCAGCTGAGCCGACAGCCGTGCACTAACACTGCAGAGTTACACACGGCTCTGGGTTTGAAAATCAAGTGGCCACGCCTCAGCCACAGCTGGATCACAGGATCAGCTGGTCCTTTTTTTTTTGTCCATAAGACCAAACGAAAGAGGGCCACTCAGACCATCCAACCTGTTCTGGGAGTAATTAATTGATCTCAGGGTCTCATCCGGCTGTTTCCTGAAAGCACCCAGGGTATCCACTTTAACAACATGCCTGGGTGACTTGTTCCACACCATCACCACTCTTTGTGTAAATGAGTGCCTCTTATTCTCAGCTTTGAATCCCCACAGCTTCCAGTTGTGGCCTCTGGTTCTTGCTCACCCCCTTGGCTGATTTTGTCAATACCTTGGAGGGTTTTGAGAAGTTGGATCAGGTCCTCCTCCTCCTTCTCAAATCTAACTTTTAGTCTGTTCAAAACGGAAAAGCTTCAGTTTTTGTAGGCTTTCGGTGTAGGGTACCGCTATCAGACCAGGAATGTATACGAATGCTTTTCCCTAGCTTGATTCCAGAGCTGTGGTGTCTTTGTCCACTGGCCACCGGCCCTTACCTCTCTCTCAGGCTTGTGGGGCTCCATCAGAGTGACCACTTGTCCTTCTCTCACCAGCATGGCCTGCGAGTCGCCCAGCCAGGCCACGTGAAGGCAGTCTCCCGCCAGCAGCACCGCCACCCCAGTACTCCCACTGCGCAGACGCTGCCAAGCAGCACACACAGCTGTCAGAGGGGCCTCTTACACACACAGGACAGTACGGTTGTCACGCCAAAGAAAAACCACTAGCACAGTGCTTTTTAAGAGACAGGAACCAGCCTTTACTATTATTGTGCGTCATACTGGCGTAACGCGACTTTTCTTGTTTGAGGCTGCAGTAGGAATTCACACTCCCTTCTTTTGGGCAACAAAACCTTCTCATTTCATCACAGTCAGGACTGCGAAACACTCTGTCCCCCCTCCTTGCTGCACCACTGGAACAAGGCCATTGTTTTTGTCACGCCCATGCGATTGTGGAATCGCCACCAGTGCCTTTTCGTCTCCATGGTAGCGAACTGCACAGCTGTACGCTAAGGTGAGGAAGGGCAGGCAGACTCCGCCTCCCATTCGCTTTCCGAGCCAATCATCTTCCAGCACGTCGCAGGCAGCACCGCCCCCTCACTGGAGGATCAGCTCTGACTGGACGAGAGGCATTTCACTCACAGATAGCCTGCACATGCCCAGTGGCCGCGGACATCACCGCGACAGCCGAGGGAACCTAATCGAGCTGCGGCCTGTCGGCTCAGGCTGGGCAAGCGATCACAGAGCTCAGCATGCGCTGTTACCAGCTGAGCCAAAGGCAACCTCCGCCCACAGCCCAGTCCGTCCGCAGCATGAACTCGAATTAACGACTGCGGAGCCCAGCGAAGCCAGTTTCTGGGACCTGGTTCACAGGCCCGCTTCTGCGAAAACTGTCCCGGGGCCAGGTGGGATTTCCACAGAGGAAACAACAGACGAAAGCACGCTCACCTCTCTGCTGGCTTTCTCCCGGAACATGTCGTCCGTCTGGGTGAAGGCGCTCTTCAGGGCCAAGGCTGGGTCGCTCAGCAGCGCCTCATGCTGGCCGACGTTGACGTGCAAGTGCGTGGCTGCGTACGTCGCCGCGTCCACTCCGCCGTGCCCGTCGAAGACCGCGAAGTAACTGCGCTCGGTCTGGTCCTGGGAGAGGAGAGGAGAAAGTCACCCCATCGGGTGTCAGCCATTTTATCATGCACTAGGCACTCCAGTTGCCATTACGCAGGACAGCGCCCCCCCTCTGAGCCCCCTGTTATCAGCGACGGGCCGTTGACCCTCCGCAGGGTCTGTGCGCGAAGTGGTGGATCAGAGGAGCGCTGAGCCGCGGAAAACAGTTAGCCCACCAGCGCACAAAACAGCCGGCTCAGAGGGCCAGCAGAAACCATCTTCCCATCCGAAACTCTGTCTCCCCGCTTCTCCATCTCTTGACTGAACCGGCTCTCTGTTAAACCCCTCCATTTCCAACAACGAGCACCTGAGCGTCCGAAGCTGGACAGACAAGAGCACTACAGTACTGACACTCTCGCCTGGAATTCCCACGATTTTCTTTTATTTGTTAACTTTTAATTTATTAAAGAAACAGTCTACCTGTAAAATGTACGTGTGCTTTTTTCCCTTTCTTAGTTAAGACGACATTTTTTTCGAATTATCAGGCAGAGACAGGAGGTTTAATATAGAAACATAACTACTTGAGCAACATAGAAAACTATAAACGTTGAGACAAAAATGACATCTTACTTCAAAAAGTGAAACTGGGTCTTAATTGGGAAATGGACTGTCACGGTTAATCTGTATTTCCTAAACCTTTCTGCTTGCAGATTGAGAACAAACGTTGTCTTTTCCCCATTATACTTCTCATTCACGATACAGTATTAATCCACCATACAGGTGTTGGAGGATCTTGAACACACCATTCTCTCACGATTTGCTTTTTCACTAGCGGATAGGAGAATTCCTAATACACAGCTGTCTGTGGGCTCTGCTTGCTCCGGACACCGAGGCATCCGAGAGTTAGGCCTTGTGCTCCGTCTGCGACAGAATACAGCCGAACTCCCACGTCGAAAATCACCCTCAATTTGATGGGGAAGGGCGCCTTAAATTTTTATTTTGAAAAAAAAATGCGGTTATTTCCTTATATTCCAGATGTTTTGTCGAATGCTGGGTGCATAGTCATGACTGATTGCCAGCAAGAAAAAAGCACATGATGAAAAGGAAGGATCTGCTTCGGCCAGGATTTTCTCTCTGGTCCTGTATCTCGAACATCTGGGCTTGGCCTGCTGGGAATTGGACCCAGAGCTCCATGGGCTCTTTCAATCTGTAAGTCAAGTTCAGGGGGGCGCAGGGGGAGTCTGAGCTGTTCTTTGATGAGTTTTTCGCCAAACTCAGCTCACTTTCCTCTGGAAGTCCTTTCAGGTTTTCTCTCCTTGATTCCCCTCCAGAGTATCCTTCAGTTTAATCTGTCTCCGTGTCTGACGCGAGTCTTCAGTGACCCCTGCTCCCCTGTGTCCGCGCCCCACGCCTCGCTGCGCTCAACCCACTCTTCTGCCTCGTCTGCCCCCATATCTGTTGGATTCAGTTCTTCAGTGAAATTCGTGAATTTTTTTGTTTGTTCCTGAAGACTCCTGCCTCGGAGTCCCCCGAGCTCGGCGTCAGCTGCTTCGACCTCCCTCTTCGTCCTCCAACCCTGCTCTCTGGTGCTTTTGTGTGTGTGTGTCTCTTCCTTTGCCTCGTGTCCCTGTTGTCGCCCAACACTGGGCATAAAACGGAGCAGACACTAACACAGCAGTATCGGGGCCTTGTGCACCATGCAGAGGGCTGCCAAAGACTTGTCCATCTCGCGTCTTACAGGGAGATCATTTTAATGTACGAGACTCTGTGCATTACAATTTATGAAGACGCAGCTTTTAACTACCATTCAAATGGCACTTTTTCTCGAAAAGAGTAAGTGTGTTACCCCAGGCCAAATTTCCCCCTGGCTTTTCCCCAATCATGGCCTCCTAATAATCCCCCTCTCTGAACTGGCTTCATCACTCTGCTCTCCTCCCCACTGAGAGCTGGTGTGTGGGGAGTGGACTGGCGCATCATCCAGGTGGGGCTGCACACTGGTGGTGGTGGAGGGGATCCCCATGACCTGTAAAGTGCTCTAAGTGAACTGTCCAGAAAGATCTATATAAGTGTAAAGAATGATTATTATTATTATTATTAAGCACAGTACCAAGAGGCTATTCTAAGACTTGTGGTCCAGGACGACACCTGATTTCTGAAAGCAAAGTTAGAAAGTGCAAACCCAGGAAGAAAAGCTTCACTAGTTTCGGGGGTAGTGTGCTCGGGTTTCAAGCCCTGGGCGGCCCACGCAGACCCCCCGTGACGGGTGGCCAGCTCACCTCCAGGCCGAAGAGCTGGTTGAAGTGGGTCAGCACCACGTGGCGGTCCTCCATCTTCCTGCGGGCGTTGCGGATGGCGTGGGCCGAGGCGCGGAGGAAGCGCCGGCCCGCCGGGGGGGGCTCGCGGCTCTGCTGCCTGCCCCGGCACACCTCCAGCAGCTCGTTCAGGAAGCGGCGCTGCAGGGGCTCCGAGCGCATCACTGGGAGACACGACAGCGGAGAAGCAAGACAGCGTGAGAGCTGACCCCCCCCGACAGGCTCCCCAGCCCCGTTCAGCCCCCGATTGACCAGAAGCCTACAGTACAGAATGAGCGCGAAAATGAAGAATGAAAACCGCGACAAGCGTTCATTTAGCACTTACAACTGAAATTCCCTTTGTGGCCAGCAGGGGTCGTAAGAGAGCTGCTCACTACACTCTGGTATAATCATAATAATAATTGCTTACACTTATATAGCGCTTTTCTGGACACTCCACTCAAAGCACTTTACAGGTAATGGGGATCCCCTCCACCACCACCACCAATTTGCAGTCCCACCTGGATGATGTGACGGCAGCCATAGTGCGCCAGAACACTCACCACACACCAGCTCTCAGTGGGGAGGAGAGCAGAGTAATGTAGCCAGTTCAGAGATGGGAATTATTAGGAGGCCATGATTGGTAAGGGCCAATGGGAAATTTGGCCAGGGTTACACCCCTACTCTTTTCGAGAAACACCCTGGGATTTTTAACGACCAGAGAGTCCGGACCTTGGTTTTACGTCTCATCCGAAGGACAGCGCCCGTTTACAGTGTAGTGTCCCCATCACTATACTGGGGCATTAAGACCCACATGGACCTCGGGTTGAGCGCCCCCTGCTGGCCCCACTGACACCTCTTCCAGCAGCAACCTTAGTTTTTCCCCAGGAGGTCTCCCATTCAGGTACTGACCAGGCTCACACTGCTGAGCTTCAGTGGGTTGTTAGTTGTGAGCTGCAGGGTGATATGGCTGCTGGCCATGTTGCTCTTGGTTACAGACACAACCACACTGCCTGCCAGCTGCTATTCAGCGCACTTCTCAGCAGCTAACTGTGTCTTAGCACTAATAAAGTGCGACGTCTGGGACAGAGGCACAAGTTTCCCACAAGGCACAAGCTGAATTTTCTGACTGCACAGAAAAGTATTATTATAGGCTGATAGGACAATGCATGTTAAATGCAACATGAAATTGCATTTTGTACAGCCATTCAGTCCAGACGAGAATGACCCTTTGCGTGATGCACGGGGGAAGAGATCAAAGACAGCCTAAAAAATGGTCTCATTTGCTGTTCATGGCTGCCACCGAGTAAACTGAATTAACAACACACAGACAGCGCATTCAGAGCTCTGTGCACTACAGAAAACTAAAAGCTGACGGATAATGTCAGAAGAGATCAAGATGGAATTCTTGTTTTGCAATGTCAATTAAGAATGAGTGTGTAATGTTGTTTTATCCTTAGCATTTAGAAAGGGAAGAAAATAAACTGGCCGCGCTTAAGGAGCTAATTACGATCAGCACTTTCAGCCTTTAGCTCTTGAGGTGTCCCGTCTCCCTATTGGCGACACCTGCTGAGACTGAAGGACCAGGTACAGGCAGGGCAGCAGGTCGTTTCTCTAAATGGAGCCAGGATCTGCAGCCCACGCTGTGCAGCACTGCGGCCTTAAGGCTACAGTGCCTGGCAGACTGGCGCAAGGACAGGCTCTTGAGCGCCACACAGCGCCTCGTGTTAGCCAAGGCTTGCTCACACTGCCCCTCCCCCAACACTCGGCGATCTGCACAGAGGAGCAGAGGTGCTGAGCTTTCCCTGCTGGGGGGGTACAGGACCGATCAGCTCCGCCCTTCCAGTTTTCAATGCCAAGTGGGAGACAGGGGCTGCGCCCAGAGGGGGTACAGTGCCCTGCTCAGTGCCTGGGGGGGGGGGACACTACTTTGTTCCTCTGTGGTTGCGGTCAGCCCATGGATAATCTGGCTGCACAATAACAAAGCTAATGATGCTAATTAGATCCTGCTCTAACGGGAATGGGTCTCGAATGTGCTGCTCGCCCTCCCCCCCCCGCCAGCGCACTCGTGATGAGCCCTGGGCCGCCAGCGCTGGCGCTGCCCACCGCGATGGGACAGGAGCCACGGACAAGATAAAACCACTGCCCCATCCCTCCCCCTCCCCTGGACAAATGCTGCAAAGCAAAGATCATTCTACCTCAATCTGGGCCACATAGACAGGATTCAAATCAGAGATCGGGCTGCTCCTGCCCCTCTCCCTCCCTTCCAGATCTGCCCGACAATCACTAAAAGAGGCATCTGGCCCCCTGCTCTTCAACTGCTTATCGCTGCTTACATTTCCACAACAAATAAGGCAATTACCAACCATGTCTGAAAATGGCTAAAGCAGCAGTCTCAGTGATGGAGCGCCTAGGAGTCCAGTCACGCCCCTCTTCGGAGGCGACTGTGCTCTTGGAGAAGCGAATGAAGCCAGTGCTGCCACTCAAGCTCTGACTGGGGGGCGGGGAGGACTTGCTGGGGGCGGCCAGTGGCCCCGCTGCAGGCTTTCCTGGCTCCAGGCTCCCACGCCACACGGGTCACGAGGGCTGAAAGACAGCCTCTCGTCGGGAGCCTCTCTCATCTTCTCGCAAACGGGGCCTGAAACGGTCACCAGCCTGGAGCAGGCGTCGGTAAAAAAAGCCCGCAGCTGGCGAAACGTGAACTGGATCCCAATGCTGTGCGTGATGGGAGTCTTCCCTCCCTCCCAGTCCAGCGCACCCGACAGGAACACAGGACACTCCGGCCTGGACAGGCTCGGAGGGCAGAATGGTTCGGCTGTAACCTCTCTGAGGACTAGAATACCCCACGGGGGGGCCGCGGGGCACTCACAGGGGGCTGCCTGCTCCTGCTCCTGGGCGAAAGCCGACAGGTCACTCTTCAGCAGCTCTGCAACGGCCGCGTGGGACAGGGCCGCACTGAGCCCTTCCGGGGCATTCCTGTAGGGGGCAGCAAACACACCGGGGGCTTAATCAGCAGGTGCCAGAACCCAGGAATCCTCTGAGCCCAGCACTGCGCGCTCCCAGAGCAGGAGGCTGACCGGGGGCAGGGGCTCTCCTCTGGGGCTCTGGGGAGCCCATGTCCACAGAGTCTGCACTCTGACCTCTCACACGGGGGGCTCTGAGGGAGTGGGAGACGACTTGGGGAACACCTGAAGGACCCGAGACCAGTGGAGACTGCTGGCACAAAACTCAGAGCGTGCAGTTTTCCATACCTGACTAAACGGATATGCACCTATAACATGAAAAAGGGTCTTATTGTTTTTTTCTCTTGTTCACAGATTTGAGGTGTTATGAGGGAAACTGTGTTCAGTAGAAACAGAAAAGCAGAAGTCTTGCCCTCGTGCTGGTTTGTTTTGGGATGTGTGCAGAGAGAATCTCCAAGTCCAACATGACATGAGGAAATAGGATTCGCCGCGTCTTCCTGCCCGGACAGCCCGGACAGGCTCGGGCAAGCAGGCAGGAGCCACGGTGCTTGGATTCCCGGCATTTCCGGAATTCCAAAGGCTCACCCTCATCTCCCATCACGTGGGGAGCAGCGCCCTCCCGGAGCGCCAGCCCACCCAGAGGCGGAGCAGTTACTGGCGGACCGCAGCACAGAGAGGCACCGGCCAGCTGACACACTCCCTGGCTCAGAGGGCCAGGCGGCTTTCACCAGGTCTGAGCAACGGAAACTCAGGGTTAGGGCTTCACAGGAAATAGTGACCGACAAACTGCGCCTTGGTTACAACGTGGTTCAGAAAATAAAGACGAACGTTCTGAGAGACACTAAATAGGCAGTATTGGAACCAAGAGTGTGTGCTGTGCTATTACTGCACCTCGGTATATTTTTCTACAACTGCTACTATTCTATTTTATACTGGTTATGAAGCAAAAGTGCTGTCAAAACAAAAATCACTGTTAAATTCCCAGTCCTACATGCTTTAAGCCAAATCAGATCAATGAACTGATTGATTAATACTTAGTGTGCCTAATAACTCTCCACATTCACGAACAGCTGCATTTTCTCAGGTGGACATGATGGACCCCCCACTCCTGCCAGTCCCCCCCCAGCACAGACAGGAAGGACCCCCCCACTCCTGCCAGTCACACCCCCAGCACAGACAGGAAGGACGCCCCACTACACTGGCTTCACCAGGGAACCTCCCCCCACTGTACAGACACCAGGCTCCCGACTCCTGACACTCGAACACACACGAAGGCTCTGTTCCCACTGCCTCCCTGTAAGATTTCTGCGCGGCTTAAAATGAAAGGAGGAAACTGAAAGGAACAGAAGAATAGAAACTTCTGAAAGGCAGAAAAAAAAAAGAGTCACATCTGCCCATCCCTTCCTCTGAGAGGAAAGGGCCGGAAACTCCCCCCCGTTCAGGGCACAAGAGAAAGATAGAGGAGGGGGGGCCGGGAGTCTGCACCGCTGCACTGAGAGAGGAAGTGGGCCGAGAAACAGGAAGCGAGAACAATGGCCCGCCCCCTCACAGGAAGCCAGCGCCAACTTCCAGAGAGCCCGGCAGGAGGGGGGTCAAAGGTCAACTCGGTTACCGACGGCAACAACGCGCTGCTTGAAACCACACGAGTCCACACCAGACCTGCAGAGCAGTGGAGACGTGTCTTAACCAAACCTTCCCCTGGAAAAGGGTCTGAGGAAGCTTGCAGACTTCAAAACCTGTGCAGAATATCCCATTTGAGCAAGCTGCACACAAAGGAAGACATTTCTATTGCTAACATACCAGCATAGACATGTTTATATACTGTATATATAAAATGGCGTTGCAGGTTTTGGAAACCGTATTGTTTCAGGGCAGCGGGCACTGTCAGACACTGCTGGGCGCTGTAGGGCAGGAACTCCAGGGAAGCAGAAGAGAATTATTCACCACCCTGTGCCTAAACACGCAGGTGGACAGGAAAGGCACTGCTGCAAATCCCTGAGGTATCTACCACGACCTCAGCTCAGGCTCGGACAGTGAGAGACACAGCAGTGCCCGTTTCCCGTTTCTAACACTCGCACGACGAGGCTCCAAAACCTCACACATCAGCGGTTGACCTTTTGTGTAAGGAACCTGCTACCCTTCAGTCGAGTCTCGGTGCGATTCAGCTTCCTCAGCCCTCAGGCTCCCATCCACAACCCAGAGGCTGCTGCTGCTGCTGCAGCTCGTCTCCAGGGTGGGAAGGGTCTGCCCTTGACGTCTGTGGCTTGAGTGGGAGACGCTCTGGTCCAACAGACCTCACTCCCGCCCTTGTCCGCCCGCTTGCAGTGACACAAGTAGCATCGGGCGGCGCGTGATGAACGATTACCCAAACTGGTTATGCCTCCTGCTCTAAGATAGATAGATACTTTATTGATCCCGTGAGGGAAATTGCAGAAAGGGGACTGGGCCTCGCCCTCCTGCCCGCACACTCGCTGCTGCTGCCCACTGCCCTGCCCTCTGAGCGCGGGGGTCAGAGGTCATGTGAGCCCCCCACCACCACCCCAGAGTCGTCTTACCTGGCTCTCAGCAGCCGTAGGGCCACGTCCAGGCACTCTCCGCGAATCTCAGCCTGGCTGACAGTGCCGCTTAAGGGGCTCACGGGCAGCGGCTGCTCGGGGCCCAGGGGCCCGGGGAACTCCTTCACCAGCTCGTCCAGGAAGCTCCGGGCCGCCTGCTCCTCCGTCCCCATGACCGGCGCTTCAGCGAGCTCCTGGATTCTGCAGGAGAGGGGGAGAGAGAGACGGGTCTTGACTCCTCAGCGCCGGGAGCTCCGGGAACAGCGCCGAACACACCCGCCTTTGCATTTTGTTGTTCCTCGGCGCCACACAAAAGGTAAAAATCCCACCCACTGTGCCAAAGCAGGAGAGCAACCGAAGTGAAAGTCGCCGTGAGCAATCTTATATCTGAAATGGGGGCAATTAAGAAAAGCGTTCCAAAAAACTTGGGGGGGGAAAAGCACTTTGCAAACAGAATGCGGTGTTAAACCGCCGTGCTCTGTATTGGGACTCTACTGTAATCTAACACGGCATATTTTAAATCTCTGAAGGCTTCGTGCGCGCCTCCCTGTACTGCATCTGAGCGGTAAGCCAACGGGTTCAGAAGTGGCATCGCACGAATAAACAGCGAACAGCGCCGAAAAACACCTCGAGATTTAGCAACTCCGTATAAAATCAGAAAGTGATGCCAGGTGCAAAATACATCCCTGTCCTTATCCCTCACTTTCTCGGCGCCCTATCGGGGTCAGAAACGACTAAATCGCGCAAAAGCTCCAGGAAGCGAAGAAGCTTTTGACACCGATATTCGCACATGACGCCGCGCTTCTCTCCTTTATCGGCGTTTGCAGTAGCCCGTGACAAGGAAAACACTTAATATACAGCTTGGGTTTTCAGACAAAAGCATCTGGTTTCGACAAGAATGAAGAAGATTTCTTAAAAAAAAACAAACAAACACGCTCCTGCAACGCTACTGGAAAACACACACAGAAGCATGCAGAATAACTTTACCCCCAGATGCACGCCCTTGTAAACGCAACCCCTAATTAGTCTCCTCGAACGCGTGCAAAGCGTCAGCCGATCCAATGGTCCGCAGCAGCGCAGGCCACAGGTCCGAAATCAGGCTGGACCTTCGAGAAGGAACAGTTACATGCGTGCATTGCGGATCTGCAGCCAAGGAGCGCGGACAAATGATACATACTCCACCTTTCCTTTTACTCGTGAGCAGCTTTGCAATAAAAAAACCCCCCCGAGCATAGCACATGTCCACTACATTTGTATTTTTACCCGATCTGACGCGCAGAGGGGAGGCCGAGATCGACTTCAAAGACTCATTTGCAACTCCTTCTGCGCCTTTTCCGTGACAGTCACCCCGTTACGGTACTGAAGTCACTCGCCAGACAACGGCAAGAAAAGACAGACGCGCTCCCCCCTACTAAAGGGTGTCCACAGTATACCACCCCGTCGCAACCACCAAGGCACGCCAGCAGAAATTAATTTGTCTCAAACCTCAAACGTGCGGCTTTTCCCCGCGGGCATGTACGGGACGTCCCGGGTCACTGGAACATGCGGAGCCTCATCGCTCTGCTCTGCCCTGCCGATACCCCCTCACGCCCTTCTCTCGGGTCCCGACACCCGACAGCACTCACACACACCAGCCCAGAAAAATACTGACATGCGCTCTTGTCTCGGCTAGTCCAGGAGTCAAATCACGTCCGCCCCAGTACGCACGCTCAGTAGGGGCCGGGTTACCCAACACCATACCGCACCGCCCTCTAGTGGCAATATGTAGAGGTGCGTTATTTTTATCACTGCCGGCACGATTTCTGTCTGACACCGCCCATTATTATTTCAACGGTCAGATTTCAAGGTTTGGTATTGATTAAAACTGCTGACCCGAGATAAAAGTAAAAACACTCGGAAAACGGAGGTCGCATCGAGAGTCGTAAAGAAATCTGACGTCTTCATCATCATCATCATCATCATCATCATCCAGGTGGGGCTGCACGCTGGTGGTGGTGGAGGGGATCCCCATTACCAGTACAGACTGTTCTTTGAGTAGAGCGTCCAGAAAAAATTGAATGGGAATTGTAAAAAAAAAACAACTGTAATGAAGGGACTAGTGAATATGCAGGGCATATTATAATACACGTGCAGCTTCTTGTGGATAGGCACAAAAACCAAGGTGATCTGTTGGCTGGGATTCCGTCCTCTCACTGCTACGGACTGGGTTCGACTCCCTGCCAGGGAACGTCCTGCTTCTTTTCAAAACGGAGAACAGGAGGCACTTCTTTACCCTAAGGGTGCTGGGAGTGTGGAACAAGCTGCCCAGCCTTTGGATGAGACCACTTCAGTCACGGGAAAGAGGCAAAGCGCATTCTGCTCCCGGGGCGCGAGGCTCAGCCTCATTCTCGGGCGGATGCAGGACTGACCTGCGGCTCGTCAACAGTTCAGGGCGACAGGGGTTGATAATCAGGGTGCAGGGTGCTTATTCATAGTTTCTTGAAACACTATAGAAGTGGAACAACAGAGCCACGGGCCCAGTGACTTATGATTCTTGTTCTGCCTGAGCTCCCCTTTACCTCGTTGGTCTAATTAGTTAATTAGGTGTAAAACTGTTCTACTTCTAACCTGTTTCCAAACTGTGCCCCAGTGCTAGCTGTACCATTAATGAATCAACTGTTAAAGCCTAAATAGACCTCCCATACGTCTCCAATTAAGGAAACAATTAGATGAATTGTTTAATTGACCACTGCGGAGGGGACAGAAACTGGGGGACACCAGGCACCCCAGGAGACGCCTGCCGAAGAGAGACAGCTGGAAGGCAAAGAGTGAAGCAAATTCTTGTTACCCACCAACAAGCAACAGGATCCAGAAATACTTTTGTTTAAAAATTTATTTGCAATAACACATAAAAAAAAAAACAACTCCCCCAGCCAACGCGTCTGGGCTGGATACGGCGGCGGCGGCGCTGGCGCTACACGAAGTAGGCGGCCAGGGCCGCCATCTTGTCTTTGGGTTTCTTGGGGTTCCCCCTGCCGCCCGGCCTGCGGCCCCGGCCCCGGCCCCCCTGCCTCCTGGCGCCCCCGGCGCGGTGCATGGGGTGCCTCATGGTGGCGTGCTTGAGCTCCACCAGGTCCTGGAAGACGGGGTCGCAGAAGGCACAGCCGGTGTGCTGGGTCTCGTCCCCGGGCAGGGGGGACCGGGCCTTGTTGAAGTCCACCACGAGCAGGGAGGCCTCGCAGGCCTCACAGCTGTCGGGGGAGACCCGCACCTTGTGGGCGTTCTCGAAGAAGTGCACCACCACGTTGCACCGGTTGCAGGCCATCTTCCACTTGGGGCCCGAGGTGGGGTCGAACACCAGCACCCCGCTCTCGCACTCCACGCACTGGCTGATCCCCAGCGAGCTGAGGGAGTGCTGGCACGAAGGGTGGGTGCACTCGTTGCACCCCATTCCTCCAAAACAAGAAAGGAAGGAGAGAAGTGAACAAAGAGGGGGGGGGGGCTCTCGGCCGCAGCTGAGGGATCCCCAAGAACTCCCTCCCCAAAGCTGAGCCACTCCTGTACAGTGGTGAGGAAACGTTTGTGAACCCCCTGGTATTCCTGCATTTACTGCTGCTAAAATGCGAGTCATAATAATAGATCAACCCAATCTGATGAAACAAATAACACACAAACAACTATACCTCGAGTCTATATCGGACAGACCGAACATTCCCTGTCTCTGCTGGAAAAATAAAGTATGTGAACCTCTAGAATCATGACCTCTAGTTAAAGGGGGGTAACTGGGAGTCGGGAGTTTCAATTAATGAGATGAAATTCAGGTGCGAGTCTGAGGTGCCCAGTAAAAACCCCCACAAAGCTTAGGTACCAACAGAGGCTCCACAGAAGAGATCTGTCAAAATGAAACATTATTATAATATGACAGAGATGAAGACCAGATCACATTTTAGGAAAAAATAATGCAGGAGTAAAGACAATGCCGAAGGGTTCACAAACTTTTTATCACCGCTGTTACAGGAATGCAGCCACATCCGAACCTGGGCTTGTGCTTTTATAGGAACATGAGGGCAGTTACAAAAGAGAAGGAGGTCATTTGGCCCAATGAAGCCCGTCTGCCTGTAGCTAAAGGACCTGAGGATCTCATCTAGCTGCTTCTTAGCAGACGCCAGGATACCGGCTTTGACAACATGGCTGGGGAGCGTGTTGCAGACTCCCACCACCCTTGGCGTAAAGAAGTGCCCCCCCGTTCTCAGTTGTGAATGCTCTTCCACGGTCTTTCCATTTGTGTCCCGTGGCTCATCTTCCACTGTTGCTTCTCAGGCCCACTGGGTCGACTCCGGCAGTGCCTTTGCACATTTTGAAGGCTTGAATCTGGCCCTCCCACAGGTGCTGACTATTAAACCACCTACCCCACTTAAAAATGAATTGAGCGTGCTATTTGAGAAGCCCCGCAGGACCCAGTAATTTCTCAGTTAGATCCAAGTATGTAAAGGTGTGATAAAATACCTGCACAGCACTGCTGCTGTATTAGCAGGATATAAAAATAATAATTGCTTACACTTATATAGCGCTTTTCTGGACACTCCACTCAAAGCGCTTTACAGGTAATGGGGACTCATCTCCACCACCACCAGTGTGCAGCCCCACCTGGATGATGCGAAGGCAGCCACAGTGCGCCAGAACGCTCACCACACACCAGCCATCAGTGGG